AAGATTTCGGACAACAAACGAACGCTACGGACGACATCGTTGCGGAACCCGCAACAAAACAACAACGCGCTACACCACCTCCACGACTTCCGTCCACATCGACGTCAAGTTCACGACCACTACCGGATAGTCCTATGGCTACTTCACCAACTGGACGACAACATCCACCACTACCAGCACCACCTCGACAAACACTAAGACGTTTAACTCCGGAAGAAGTAATGCAACCAACTAAAGCACAGAAGACCTCAAAGGACACTACAATCAGATCAACGGAGCAAGCAACCAAAGAACCACCACCACTACGACAGAAAATCAACGCAGTGACACTTCCCAACGGAAAATCCATCACTCCCTACACAAACGACGACACCTCAGAAGACCAACCCATAATCTTCGACAACGAAGGTTACGACGAAACACAACTACTGGAAGGAATGAAACACGAGTCAAACCAAATGAAACTACACGACGTCTACGACGAAGTAGATGCGTCTACCGTCAACGACAACGTCATCAGAGAAGCGATACCTACAAGATGGGTACACAGAAAGAAAGGACCAGGAGTACGAAGCCGAATCGTCGCAAAAGGCTACACCGAGAAGATCGAGGACGAAGACTCCGTCTACGCCTCTACACCAATGTTCACGACACTCCGGGCACTTCTCGCACTACAAATGTCACGACCAAACTGGATCGCGCGACTAGGTGACGTCTCTACAGCCCTTCTACACGCACCCATCGCAAAAGACCACAACAGTAAACAACGTGACTTCTACCTTTGGCCACCTAAAGACTTTGTCCACAACAGGACAAAACCTGGCGACTAAAGAAAGCCATGTATGGACTACGCAGTTCACCGAAAGCATGGCAGGACTACCTGGCTGAAGTTCTACAAAAGCTCAGCTTTGTAAGACTAAAGTCAGAACCCAACGTCTACACCAATGCGACTCGCGACTGCTACATCATGGTCTACGTGGACGATCTACTAGTACTTGGAGACAAGACCGCAGTCAACTCCACTTTCGAGGCCGTCCAGAAGCAGGTACTACTCAAGCGCATCGGCTACCTCGAACCTGGCAAACCACAACAATTTCTTGGAAGAAACATCGACCACTTCGGCAACTACTGCAATCTTGGACTAAAGGACTCCTACATCGACAACATGATCGAGGAGTCTGGAATGAACAACTGCAACTCAGTAAACACTCCAGGAATTGCACACTACAAACCAACAATAGAAGATGAAGCGCTACTTGACCACGAACAACACAAAAGGTACAGAAGAATTGTTGGCAAACTTCAATGGTTAGCATACACACGACCAGACATTGCATACTCCACAAAAGAACTAGCACGAGACCTCACAGCACCTACAGAACTTTCACAAAAGAGAGTCAAACATCTACTACGCTACTTGCACGGCACCAAGCACTACAAATTCACCATAGAACCAACAACAACACTCAGAGCAAACACCAACAACATCCTGGATCTCGACGTTCATGTCGATGCCGACTGGGCAGGATGCCCTACTACCAGGAAATCAACTTCAGGTTTCAACATCATCTTTCTAGGAACAACAGTTGCATTTGGCAGCAGAACACAAGCTACAATAGCACTTAGCTCAGCAGAGTCTGAACTCTACGCCATTTGCACAGGAGTTAATGAGGGGCTACACCTCAGAAACTTCCTACTTGAAACCAACATTTGCAGCAAGCTAAACCTACGCATCCACACAGACTCCACAGCAGGCAAGAGCATTGCTACACGACAAGGCACTAGCAAACGAGCAAAACACATCGACCTCAAATTCCTCTACACACAAGACCTCATCAAGCACGACATCATCAGAATCCTTAAGATCAACACACTCCACAACAGCGCAGATTTGTTTACCAAATACATCAGCAAAGAAACGCTACACAGGCTCATCCAGAGCATTGGAATACGCATCTAGCACTACGAACGACCAGCGCAGCAGGTTCACAACAACAACAACGACTTTGGACATTTCATGTATGTAAGTAGCTACATGTAACACGACACTTTTGGTATGTAAGTAACAGTAACTACATGTACTTTCACTTGCACTTTTGGCGGCTTGAGTCAACACTACAGTTGTTTGTTTTATATGTCATTCGCCGACTGCCTGGTAGCAACTACTTAGGCTCATTTGTTTTGCCCCGTTTCACTACATTTTGCATTCCACTGCAGCCATGGCCGCTCCATCTACTGCAGATGCTACGATGGGAGACGCCACTACGCCCGACAGGGCGACTAGACCTGAGGTGGCGGTCACTACGGACTCCAGTGACCACGGAACTCCACCACCTCAAACCTACAACGACTCCAACTACCACTTCAACCATTCTACACCCGGCAACACCGTCTACTACAACCCGACCACAGTGATGGACCAACTGCACATCACTGAGCACCAGACAACCGCTGCACCACCACTGCCCGACAACATTCCCTACACACAATTTTTTTCACTGCATTTACACTTGAAGAGTATCAACTTCTCTCACAACAACAAGCTACTCCACTGGCACAACTGGACTACACACGACCCATTCACTGCATCCCTGGAGATCTTCGGATGCCACACTACAATTCTACACTGCTCAGCATTTCACTACCTGAAGCAGCCAACGTCCACTACTACCACACGACTTCACTCCACTACAACTGGCGACAACACCAACTACGTCATCATCCAACTCCAGATTGAACAACCACTACTCCTGAGGTACCTCACTTCAGGACAATTTCTACACTTCACAAGGGACTACATCTCCTACATGATGTCGGTACAACACAACTACTACCCGACTACAACACTGCCACAGACCATCTTCAAGGTGAACTACAACATGACCACCTTCACTGACAACTACAGCCTCAGGAACAACTACGTTTGGAATTACCACATGCCACTACTTCTACCTGAACTACTCCATTACCTTTACAACCGAGACCAACTACACGACTTCCAGCACAAAACAATCACTACAATCCTCTGCAAAAGCATCCAATACTACGGATTCACACTACTCACAATGACCAACCTCACACAACACCACAAAGCACTACTACACCGCTTTTTACGGGACTACGACCAACACATGTCGTGTCCCGAGATTGATGATGAGCGACTACGGGGAGCTCCAAACTACATGACAACCTTTGTCACCACCAACTACTACGCGACCTTGGACAGTCGGCTACAGATGGTCCAAGCCTACCGCACCCAGAAATGGGGACTACATTTTTGAGCTCCTGCTCTACTACAACGAGTGCCTGCCTTCACTACTTCCGTCCACATCGAGCTGGAACCTGAACAGCGTGAACTACTGACCGCAGGTCACTACTTTTGCCAACACAGTAGAATTGATGAACAACAATGGTTTTCATCACTACTGTCAATCCATGTTTTGCACTTCAGTTGAAAAGGTGCCACAAAGACCTTTTAACTGAGGGGCCGTGTCAAACTACATGCTTCACTTTGCACTCTTGTTGCATGTATGTTCACTACCGCAGGCCTTGAGCTTACTACTCCGCATGAGTCAGAAGGTTGGCAGCTGCAGACTACATTGGTTGACCGTTTGTTTGAACATTACAACACTTGCACTTGTAAGCAAAGTAAGAACTTATTTTTCCCGAGAGAGAGAGAGAGAGAGAGAGAGAGAGAAGAGAGATGCTGCGAAACAGAGAGCTGCAAGCCAGGCGGCGCACACAGCGCTGAAAGCGGAAGCTCGGCAGGCCTAGCACCCAGCGAGGCCTCAGCTTTCCGGATCCCGACCCCGAAAGTTTGGACCCGAGGCTCTTGCTTGTTGGAAAGAACTGCCGTGGCCTTACGAGTGACACCACGGCTAGAGTCCCTAGAGTCCCTAGAGTCCCCAGAGTCAGGTACCCCGCGGAGCTTCAATCTGCCTGCGAAGCCGCATCCATCAATCCGAAGGCCAAGCACATTGTTTGTGGACGTTGCATAGCTGCAGCGCAGGTGGGCTGAGAGCGGCTGACAGCACCGGGCAATCTTGGAGGGCACCACACATTGTGCTCGTTGAGCACCGATGCAGCCTCCAATTTGTTGGGAAGAGTATCATGAATTGAAGACAAGAGGGGCACTCACATGCGCTGTCGCTACAGTCAGGGGTCTCAACTTGCGGCGACAGAGCCAGTGAACACGGTGCGAAGACAAGGATGCCGGTGAAGACATAAATGCAAAACTAAAAGTCTTTGAGCTTTCTGCTTTTGACGGGTTATTACACGCCACAGCCAGATTCTAAGTGTCAAGAGAAGTTGAGCAGGGGAAGGGGAAAGTGGGTGAAGGCGCAAACTCTGGCAAGTAGGAATCAGGCTTAGGAACTTAAGCACCGCTTTGTTTGTCGTCACCGGCTTAAATTCAGGAACCCTGATTGCCGCATCCCTGCAAACATTTCGTCAAATGATTCAATACAGATGGTGACCGAGCATATTTGACCGAGCAGGCACCAGCCAGGCTAATAGCTTCCAAGTAAGGCTGGCTTTCTGCTTCTGTCGGTCCTATCAATGCCTTTCAAGCAGTCCCATTTTTTTACTCTAGCCCAAGATTCACTTAAACCCAGTGCCCCTTTTCGGGGGGAATCAACGTGGGTTTAAGCATGCCCTGGGTTTTCAGTCAAAAAGTAGAATACACCGATGACATTGCACGAAGCGCTGCTTTTGGCAGGGGTTGGTGTTCATAAATTCTTAGATCTGACCACAGGCCGCTCAGGTAGAGCTTGCCTGAATTGTGGCAATGCATGGTGGGTGGTGCCGCAAGTGGCTGCATGCACAGCCCGGGAAAACTGCCAAAGTCGGAGACTGCATGCTGCGTCTACAGCGTTGTCCCTCTCTTGTACAGGAGACTTTGGAGGTTAATGGACTTGAAAAGCAGAGGTAGTCTGCAGCTTCTCAAGGTAAATTGTGCTGAGGCCGTGTGGTGCTAAGGAGTTGAATTCCGCACAGCTGAGGCGCGACGAGTCTCCCTTTCAACGTGGCCTCAAGCCTTGCAGTGAGCAAGCAAAGTAGAGTGGCAATTGACACATCTTCTTGACCTGCTTGAGGTCCTGTGCTGCAGCTGCAGCTGCAGACTCCACCGCCTGAGGCAAGCTTTGGCAAATGTTTCTTTCGAGTTTTGCAGCTTAGCTTCCAGGCTCGCAGATCACCTCGCTGGAGAGAGGATAGTGTGGTGCAGGGCTGAGTTCAGAACTGAGCTGTGCCGCTTTGCCGCCTCGCAATGAGCTGACTGTGAAAGAAAGCTTTTGACAGCTCCAGACTAAGCAGCTTGCACAGTAGGCAGGGCTTTCCCAGTTCGCGCCATGTCTAGCTTCGTTGGATTCCTGTCTGGATCCGACCAGTTCGGTCGATGGGTTCCTGAGCCTGAAATCACGGCTTCAGCCTACCTCGGCGGATCCACTGTGGACTTCTCCCAAGCACTTTTCCAACACCCGGCCTGGGCCTCAGCGAGCCGCTGATAGCTTGCGCTTGAAAGGGGTGCCAACTTGGGCCCGAGGTAATCACCATCTCCAGCACCGCTTTCTGGGGCAGCGTCACAGTGATTGTGCCGCCCAACGTGGCGGTGGAACAGGATGGCACGGCCATCCTGGGTGGCTTCGGTGATGCGGGGGGCGTGTGGTCCAGCACAGGGAGAGCTGCAGCCGCTAAGGCACCGGTGACTATCCGCATCGTGGGCACGGCGCTGATGGGCCGCGTCAACGCTGTGGTGAATCACACTGCGGCCCCGGCGCAGCTGCTGAGCCCTGAGGAGGTGCAGCGCGTGCTGCGCGAGGTGCCGCCAGAGCCATCCACAACGCAGCGGGACCTCCTGGCCCAAGCGCTGCAGGCAGAACAGGCACGCCGGGCAGCAGACCAGGCGGCCACCCACGCGCTGGCACAGGCCATCCTCACCGGGGCTGGGGCAGCGGCCGGGGCTCACGGGGCTCACGGGGCCGTCCCCGCGCCAGTCCCCGCGGACCCCCGGGCCGCGCTGCTGCAGGGTCTCGCGGCCGCGCACCCCGAGGACACCCGGGCTGCAGTGCTGCAGGCGTTGGCCGCGCACGCGGCGCCGGCGCCGGCACCGGTGGCCCAAACACAGGCCGTTCTGGCGCCAAGCGCACCCGCGCTTAGCCAAACGAGTCCAGGAAACAACCTCTCCAGCATGGACTAACCGGGGTGCCACCCGCTTGGTGCTTTCAGCTTGCTGAAGATGGTTCGGCGCACTTGCCGCCAGCCAGTACCAGTAGGCTCAAGGGACAAGATGTTTTGCAGCTTGGTCATTTGTAAACCACGTAGACGCGGGCTAGCAGCGAGGAATCTCCTGTGTACTTCTTCTTGCTTGGCAGTGTATAGGTGAGAGTTGCCCATGGAACAGGCGCACTCTTCATCTGCCTTATTGCCATTTGGTAGTCAACAGAGTTAGCTGTCAGCTGGCAAAGGTCGTGCTTGTTTGTGGCTTGAGTCATGACAACCTTCATTCCATTCCGTTTTCTCATGCTCAGAGCGACGCGCTGGACTTTTCCCCACGCTTGGACGAGGAGGCGAGCCTCGCATGCTGGACACGTTGAGTGGCATGTGCCTGATGTGCCTGATGTGCCTCGTGCAGTTTGCAGCTTGCAGCTGGACTGCCTGAGGACAATGAACCTTACGAACTCACAGAGCAAGATGCAGGGGGCTTTCTTTTGAGTCATTTTGATTGTGCACGGGTGAGACCGTTGGTGCCGGTGCCGGTGTGGTCCGTCGGCCTTGAAGGCACAGGCCATGGCAGTTGGCAAGCTCTCTGACCGAGAGAAGCGGCCCGAGCAGCCCGAGCAGGTGCAGCATTCGAGGACCAGCCCATTTGGATGAGTGGCAACTTGCTTGAGCACAAGAGTTGCCATCGACAGGATGCAGGAGGAGTTGCAGCGTATTGAAAGAGAAGAGCTGAGGAAGCAAGAGGATCTCAGGCAAGAGGCCAGGCAGGAAGATGTGATGCGTCAAGAGGCAAGGCGTCAAGAGGCAAGGCGTCAGGAAGAAAGACGCCAAGAAGAGGCCAGACGTCAAGAAGAACAACGAGTAGAGGAGGCGAGACGCGAGGAGGCGAGACGCGAGGAGGTCAGACGCGAGGAGGCTCTGAAGCACGAGGGCGAAGCACAAGGAGGGTCCGAGCAAGGCAAAACCGAGAGTCACCAAAGCCCAAAGAAGCGCTTCCAGCGCTTTCAGGAGTGACCTGCCTTCAGTTGCCAGCGTTGTGTTGTTTGCGAAGGAGTCAAACTTCTCAGACGTAATGTTTTACATCCTGAAGCTGCCTGCTTCAACTATTGACCGATGTTTCAGTTTTGAGCCGCAGTTGCGGGCTCGCATAGAGACCACGAACAAACCTGGAAGTCGCTGCTGCGTTTTGGCTCATATTTCCAGCCAGAATGTCCCGAGCGTCTCGCCTGAGCGGCACACTCCGCTCCTTCTTGCCAATTCCAAAGCCCGCCTTAAAGACTTCGTACGACGTGGTGGTGGTGGGTGCAGGCAGTGCGGGCGCGCACTTGGCCTACCGCCTTTCGGAGAATCCCTCCTGCCGCGTGCTACTTCTCGAGGCTGGCAGACAGGACGCGTTCGGACTCTTATGTTGTGTGCGGTCGAAGCCGATGGATCAACTGCAAGCTCGCATGATTATCTATTGTTTGAGACCCGAAGCCAGGACAACGCTCTTTGGGTGCATGTGCCCGTCTTCTACTTCAAGTCCATAGGCAGTGACCTCGACTGGAAGTTCCGGACAGATGGGCCAACCACAGGCCTCGCAGGCCGTTCACTGGCTTGGCCGCGTGGCAAGGTCCTGGGAGGATCGTCAGCCCTGAATGGCCTGCTGTACGTGCGCGGAATCAAGCAGGACTTCGACGCTTGGGCAGCCGACAACGAAGGCTGGAGCTACCAGGAAGTGCTGCCCTTCTTCAAATCCAGCGAGGACGCGCCCTACGAGAGCCCCCAGCGTGGCCGGCATGGGCCCATGTCAGTTTGCGACGGCTCGTTCGTCACAGACCTGGCTGAGCGATGGTCCACTGCCTGCCGAGAGCCTAAGGTTCACATGTTGAACGCTTACGCCTCAGAAACTCATAGCCGTCTTAGACCGCGCGTTGCCGAGGTCACGACGTGTGCGGTGTGCCCCGTGTCCGCGACATGGCGGACGTGGCTGCCGGCTCCGGTGCTGGCGTCGCCTACTTCTCCAACTTCAAAACGCCGGCCGGGTTTCGTTGCTCCAGTGCCCTGCCGCTGCACGAGGTCCGCCATCAGCGGAGCAACCTCCACATCCGCTGCAACACAGAGGTGCGCTTGACGCATTAGTGCCGTTTGGGCCGTTTGCTTCTGGGGCGGACCCATCCGAGGTGGAGAGGCTAATGTTCAGCGGCAGCCGCGTCACTGGCGTGCAGGTGGAGGGGCAGGAGGTGTCGGCGAGCGAAGTGGTCCTTTGTGCCGGTGCCCTGGGCTCTCCGCATCTGCTGCTGAAGAACGGAATTGGCGCGCCTGATGCGCTGGAGGGCGTCGGTGTCCAGTGCATCCACGCCCTGCCAGGAGTCGGGGCAAACCTGCAGGATCATTTGCAGTTGAGGCTGGGCTAAGATTCTGAGATGCATTAATTAGTGTAAAGCGTCTTGGCCACTCGCTCCTCTCGCTCCTCTCGCTCCTCTCGCTCCTGCTCCTTGCTCGTGAGGCCCAAGTTCCGTGTGCAGTGCTCGACGCTGAACTCGCAGGTGGGCGGCCTGGTGAAGAGCGTGGTGCGGGGCCAGTGGCTCCGCGCGGCTTTCAGCCCCACGTCCTGGAGCTGTGCGGCGGAGTTCGCGCTCCACGGCACCGGGCCCGCGTCCATGGCCGCCTCCCAGGTCTGCGCCCTCGTGTCCTCAAAGTCAACGGAGTCCCCGGAGTCCGTGTCCGAGTGTCCGGACCTGCAGTTCCACTTCCAGCCGCTGAGCACCACGGGGACGCCCGCCGTGTTCCTGGATGACTTCGACGCCTTCACGGCATCCGTTTGCATCCTGAGGTGCGAGAGGGAGATAGGATATGAAAGGATATGAAAAGATTGAAAGGACAAGAGCGGGAGGGCAAATCGGTAATGCTCAAACCAGTTATGGGAAGTGGAAAAAGGCTTGAGATCTGTCAGGCCAGCGAGCCGTGGATGGCTTCGGCTCGCACCGGATGGCTCGCGTGCCGTCTGCAGAGAAGGAGTTGCTTGCATCACAGAGCGCTGAGGCATGTTTTGAAGTCTTATCAGAGGCTTCGCATCTCTCCGAACTATCTCTCCACCCCGAAAGACAGAGACCTTGCTGTGAGAAGCCTGGAGATCGCCAGACAAGTGCCTTGGCTGTTTCAATGTCTGCATGTGAGTCATGCAGCATGCAGTTTCCCCTTGTTCTCTTTGAACGTCAAGTGAGGTATCTATGCATCCCCTGCTTCAAGAAATTGGGGCAGAGGAGGCAAGGCCTTTGGGCAAAGTTGGTGGCATCTTGAGTCATTGAGGTAGATGCGCCAGAGACTTCTGACATTGACTACGCGCGACGTGTGGCCGAGACCATCTACCATCCTGCGCGGCTCCAAGATCCAAGCTCCGAGCCTGACGCTTGAGCATTCCAATTCGCACGGATCGGCAGCTGAAGGCCGGCACTTGCAAGATGGGCCCCAGCAGCGACGAGCAAGCCGTGGTTGACAACAAGCTGAGAGTGTCACTCGCTCGGATTTGCCAGAATTGCACAGATACAGCTTGTCAGACAGCCTGGCTTGTCGGACAACTCAGGCATGGTTTGGAAGGGCTTCGCGTGGTTGATTGCTCCATCATGCCAACCATCACCTCTGGCAACACACATGTGGCTGCCACAGAAGCTTGCTGCGCCTCGGACAGCGTTTGCTTGCATTGACCTCAGGCGCCCACGGTGTCTCGACTGCATGCACTTGCTCTTCCCTGATCCAATGCAATTGGTTCCAGACACATGCCAGACAACTCCAGACTGGAACTGAGGTCATGATCGCAGAGAAAGCCTCGAAGATGTTTTGAGCGTTTCAGGGTTTTGGCTGGCGAGAGTCGAAAGGCCGCATGCAGCTTCCTGCCATGAACAGCTCAGAAGCCGAGCGCTCCCTCAGGAGGATGATGTTGACGTTGAATCTTCTACGTCAGAGGATGTGGCGGCCTAGGATGCTTTTGGCACAGAGGTCAGATGCAAGGCTGGATGCCAAGCATGACGAGCCCACAATTGTTGACTGTCTTGGATGAAGCAAACACGGAAAAAGCAGAGGCAATGGCGAAGACTTGTAATTGCGAAGTGAAGCAACATAGGGCGACACAGATGTTGGCTTGCAGGGCAAAGCTAGACTCATTTTATCTCGGCTTAAACTCGCCAGATGTTGGAGTTCCCATCAGGGAGGTTCATGGGTAGAGCCGCTGGCCCAGGCTGAGTCCCCGAGGCCAGGGGAAGCCATCGCATGCATCGCATGCATCGCATGCATCGCATGCGCATCGCTGTCATGAAGGCCGTCAGCGACCCTAGCCAGCGCATTTCGTGAGCGAACCCCAGGTCAGAGCCTGGGTTCGCTCGCTTCTTTTTTTGCCGGCAAACTGAGTCCTTGGGTCCTTGGCTCAAGTGTAACTCACTTGGGCTTCCCATGGCGCCCATGGCGGCCGTGCGCGCGGCCACGAGGTCCTGGCTGTTCCTGGGGCCATGGCTGTGCTTCGTGCCTTGGGGGCCCTCGGGGCCCTCGGGTCCCTCGGGTCCCTCGGGTCCCTCGGGGCCCACGGGGCCCACGGGGCCCACGGGGCCCACGGGGCCCACGGGGCCCTGGGCCGCGCGTCGCCAGGTGCTGAACGCCGTGCTGCCAGCGGCGCTTCCGCTTCTGGCCTTTGCAAGGGTCCCCAGCGAGGATGTGGCACTGATGCAGACCGCGTTGTCCTCTGTGCGGCGGATCGGGGACTTCCCCTCGAAGGCCGCCGCGTTTGCTGCGACGCGCTGAGTGCGAGCAGTGTGTCTTGCGTGCGATGCGTTCGGCCAGGCTGCGCTGGCCCAGGCTGAGGGGGAGTTGGATGAGCTGCTTCGAAGGTGGCGCAGCCTGGAGGGCGTGTCACCCAGCGAAGTCCCAGCAATCCTGCGGCGGCGTGCCTTTGCAGCTTGGCAGCAGGTCGCCACGAGCCATGCATGGGTCGCTTTGGTTGCTCAGTGCTTTCAATTGGCTGAGGTGAGGCTTCGCGGCGGACGAGCTGAGGACTGCCTGCCGCTTGCAGAGATCCCGAGCTGCTGGTCGCTAGGAGGCGCTGGTCGACTTGAACGAAGCACTGCAGCTCTGTAAGCAGTCTAAATCTGATGCCTCGGTGCAGTATGACGAGATGCCCAAGGTGCTCGTGGCTCGTGGTGGCGCGTTCAGGCGTCTTGAAGCTTCAGCTCATTGGATCGTTTCCACTTGAAACATCTTTAAACTTTGCCATGGCCCCGAGCCAGGGCGTTGAAGCGGTGGAAGGAGGCCCTGGAGGACTACGATCTGGCCGCAGAGCTGTTCGGTGAGCCCGACCTGGAGCTGTTGTCAGGCAGTGCTCAGGCGCGGCACCCTGTGTTTCGACTTTTCATCGGCATGTGCCACGTGAGGCAAAGATGGGTTTGCAGCAGATCCCTGGCGCACTTCACGAATTCTGAAAGTTCCTAAAGGCATTTGCGACATCTTTGCGACATTTTTGCGACAACTTTGCGAATGTGCATGGTGTGCATAGTTTGCATAGTGTGCATAGTGTGTTGCCGAATTCGCCTCGACTTTCGACCGAAGCGACTGAGGCCCCTGGCGGCAGCGGCGGATTTCTCGGCGGCGGCGGAGCTGCTGCGCTCCGCGGGGCGCCGCCCCGAGGCGGAGATCGAGGCGGAGAAGGCCGCGGTGGCGCTGCTCGCGGAGGCGAAGTTGAAAAGAAAGACATAGGGAAAAGAAGGACACAGGGAATAACGAAGACATTGAGAATAACGAGTAAGTATAAATAAATATAAAGAAGATACCGAGAGAGAAAGCGGAGTGGAGTCAGGACACCGCGAAGGCCGAGGAGGCCTTTGCCGGTGTGATTCGGCGTACCGTTGGGCTGCTGAGCAAAGACATGGGCCTCCTGCAGCGGGTGGTGCAGGCGGATTCCGATGCGCGCATGGCCATGGTGGCCATCACCTGGCACAACGGAGACGCCGAGCGTGCAGAGACGCAGCCTGCCTTGAAGGACAACTAGGACAAGAGTACACTCGCTGGGCCTCAATAACCCCTTAACCAATTGATAAGGACGCCAGAGACCGCACAAACAGACACACTTGCTCTGCAGAGCGCTGAAGCACCCGTTACCACATCAAGAAAAACCGCCTCGGGCTAAAATGAAACACCCATTCCCATTGCATGTCTCCATCACATGTCTTCATTGCAAGGCATGACACAAATAATGTTCCGTTTTCATAAAGCACATTCAGCTGGTGTTGTTGCCAGCTGCCTCAGACTTGCAGAGCACCAGTCACTGTGTCCGAGTTTCCGAAGTGTTGAAACCCAGTTGCCAAATCCGCTTTTGGACTATAAGAGAGCATTGCACAGGTACTGGCGTGACGGATGCGACGCTTTGCCAAATTCAGCCATTTTCAGAATCGTTTTCAGGTTGCAATATGATGCAATATGATGCACAATAATGCAACATGATGCACAATAATGCGACATGATACAATAGAGTGGTGCAACATGATGCAACATCATGCAACATGTTGGCTCAACGGCTAGCAATTGCCCGTGGTTTCACGCATGTTCTACAACCCACCGCTGGCCAGCCGACCCAGCATGTTTGCCTTGGGGTGGGGGGGAGGGGGGGGAGTTTCCCTGAAAGGAAAGGTGCCCCAAACCGGGGCAACTAATCCCTCAGGAGAGGCAACCCGCTGTGGTAGCAGTCTCAGTGTCAAGACAAGAACCTGATGTCTGACGGATTGTGGAGAACTGAAGCCCATGGAGACACATTGCGCACTATGGCACGAGAGCAATGCAGCAAGGCTTTTGTATCCATTGCTGAGACAACGTTAAAGTAAATATCTATGTTTTGGTTTTTACCATTGTTTTTGTGCTCTGTTCGAAAGATGCTGCCCCAACTTCTCCCCCAACTTGTTTTTAGTGATGGATGGCAAAAGCCGACGCTTGCAAAAGCGCGGCAAGACATGGCGATGGAGCCAACATGTTGGCTTTACGGCCGCCACGTGCCCGTGGATTTCAGGCTGCAAGCCACGATGCCATCTGTGGCCGAATTAGAGCATACTTGCAATCAGTTCAACATGTCCGAGAGTGGCCTTTTGATCATGCCCGGAATGAATCTGATTGTTTTTCTCGACGGCTACGGCACATATGAATGTATGGCTACGGAATAGAGCCTGGAGACATCAGTAGTTCGATGCTGAAGGTCGAAAGAGTTATGTCTGACCTTCATGCAACCATACATGCTCACCATTACGTTGTGGCTCAAGGCCTTTTTTGAGTCAGACTCTACAGGAGTGGTAGCACAGGAGCTTGAAATGGTGGCAACATACTTGTCCAAACATCACGTTGCATCATGCCGAATCATGTTGCGTCATGTTGAATCATTTTGCACCATGCTGCATCATGATGCATCATGTTGCATCATGTCGCATCATGTTTCACCATGCTGCTGCATCATGTTGCACCATGCCTCATGTTGCATCATTTCAATCATGCTGCATCATGTCACACATTGTTGCATCAGCTTGCATCATGCTGCACCATGTTGCATCATGTTTCATGATGCTGGAACACGTTGCATCACGGTTCATCACGTTGCATCATATTCCATCATGTTGCATCACGCTGCATCACATCCTTCCATGTTGCATCGCGTTGCAGCATGTTTCATCATGTTGCATAACGTTGCATCATGCTGCATATTGCGTCACGTTCACCGTATTGCATCGTGTTTCATCCTGCTGCATCATGCTGCATCACGCTGCATCATGTTGCATCATGTTGCATCATGCTGCATCAGCCTGCATCACGCAGCACCATGTTGGTTCAATCGCCCTGTCCTGCCGCACCCTGGGGAGGGGGGGGATGGGAGGGGGGTGTGGGGATGGTAGCGACAACAAACGGGCACCGCTGCCGTAACTGCATGGATACTGTTCAAACGGAAGGGCTCGGGTGTCGCGGTGACCAGCGATGTGAATCTTTGGCTGGGCAAATAAAGCGCCAGATGAGACGGTCTAACAAGTTAGGCAGAAGCAAGTCAAGAGGAGCCACAGAACACGTGGATCCTTTGTCTTCTTTGTTCGTCGGTCAGAAACCTGGCCTGATGAATGTGTTGAAGGCAGTTGTGTGCTTCAGAAAGGCCATGCAAGATACTTGCGCGCCTCAGCAAGTTTTTAATGACTTGAGCTGGCTGAGCTGTCCATGAAGGTACAAAAAGAGTGAGAATTCATCTGCGCGATGTGCCACGCCTGCCATGCGAGCCGTTCGGCAACGCTGAAGTTGACACTACGCAACTTGGTTCAACATGATGCAATATGGTTTTACGTGCTGCAACTTGCCACATGATGTAACATTCTGCAACGTGTTGCAACGTGAAGCAACACCACACGATGCAACGCGAGGCAGCGTGATGCAGCATGATGAAACATGATGTAGCACGGTAAACCAATACGCAACATGGTGCAGCGTGATGCAATATGCAGCATGATGCAACGTGATGCAATGTGGTGCAACATGATGCAACCTCATGCAGCATGATGAAACGGTGCAACATGAACGGTGCAACATGATGCAACACGATGCAACATGGTGCAACAGGATGAAACATGAAACATGACAGCAGGATGAAACATGATGCAGTATGGTGCAACATGATGCAGCAGGATGCAACCTGATCCCATATGGTGCAACATGATGCAACATGATGCAGCAGGATGAGCTGTGATGCAATGTGGTGCAACGTGATGCAGCTGCAGTTGCCCAGTCTGTCGGGGAAATCGGTGAGCGAACTGAGGATCGCTTAAACATCCTGGCGGATGAAGCTAGGGGCAAGGACCTTCCGGTGGGATTTGCCTTTGCCGACGGAGATGTCTACAACTGTTCAAGGCATCTGGGCATCTAAAGGCAGCCCTAGGCATCTGAAAGCATTTGCTGTGGAAGCGACGCAGTTCACCTGGCTCATTCGCTTGCCAGGTATGCCTCTGATGCCAGATGGATTCGAGAAGCTCGTGGCTGGCCGGATCAGGTTGGGCACCCAAAGTGTTCATTTGGAGCCTTGCAGCGATGAGGCAATTGACTGGTTCCAAGACTTTCTTCAGAATCGACCCGGCATTGCTCCACGGGATGCTTATGTGCAGGCCAACTTTCCGAAAGCATGGCGCTGCGCATTGACTTTGCTTTCCAGCTGGCAGGATCTGATGAGTGGCAAGCGACCTGGCGATGGCAGCACCCTCATGGATCTGGCATCTTGACAACGTTGGGCAAAATTGCCCAAAGTCTCGGGTCCACGATGGCTGGTTTTCTTGCTGCAGGACTGCGGTCCATCAAGCTATTTTGGGGCCAAAGCCTTTTATGTTTCAGCCTTCTGATAGCAATTTTCTTTGGGCTGGCGCCTTACCTTTTTGAAGAAAGTGCGAGACTAAAACCGGGTGTGGAGTCTTTTTCTGAGGCAATTGCCACCGACGTCTTTCGTCGCAGTGACCCTTGGGCAGACGTGCAAAGGAATTTTAAGCGTGGCCCTGTGCTGGAGAAGGAGCGCGAGCGCGTGGAGCGTTGACGCAAGAACAAAAAGATGTGTGTTGCTTGCAGTGGCATACAGATGCGGGGCATACTTGCTTGCTATCTGGACTCCCAGCCAATGTGAACGCTGTGAGCTGAGGAACAGATGGCCGGATGTCGTCAGAAGGAGTAAGTCGAACCCGGCAAAGCATGTCTTCAGCCGACGTTTCAGCCGACGTAGAGCTCCCAGATTGAGGCGAGCGGACGCCTCACAGCTCCCTCCACTGTCCAAGGTGGATGCCATTTTAGCCGACTATGGCCAGAATGAGGATGAGGAATCCACCGAAACGGAGGCGATCGGGATGCACTGGTGCTTCGCTTTCTGCACTGCGTTCAGCTCGCATTCTTTTTAGCTGACTGGATTTGGACACAGGATGGTGACTGGGTGTGATGAGCTTCGGAAGCCTTTCACGGCTGGGATCACTGAATCCAAGCCATGCCACGAATTCGCGCATTGGAGAATTCAAATTCGCCCGTGCACGCCTTAGCAAAGATTGGCCAGAGCAGAAGCATTGCCCTGCAGCGCAGCATGCTCAGCATTGTCCCAGAAGATCTCGCCGTTGCTTTTGCTTCAAGCTCCATAGATCGGCTGTGAGCTGAGCCCTTTGCCAGGCCGAGTTCAGTCTCAGACGTTAGGAAAGGCCACCTATCCGAGGTGTGACGGACCATTTGCTTGTCGGCCACTGAGAATTCAGCACGCACTTGACAAGTGTACCCAAGTGCCGTGAAGACTCGTCGTGTGCCAGGTGCAGGGCACCCGTGGGCCGCATGCTCGGTGTCGAAGAAGATCTCAAGCCAAGCCCCGGGACATTGAGGTGCCGTAAGACGCGAGCGGGTTCGCCATGCCCAAGAAGACGTGCGCCCACCAGGCCTGGCGTTTCCCACGATCACGATGGCTTTGCAGTCAGGAAGAAAGGCAAGGAGCGCCTGGACAAGTCAGGGACTCGGAAGACTTGGAATTTGTCCCTCCAAAGCCTTCTTTCGGCTTGGCAGAGTGCTCGTAAGTCCCTGCGAAGGGGCCACTTCCTGACTTCCTTGGCTGAGGTTCTACAGCTTGGCAAAGGACCAGGGCTATCGAGCGCGCTCAGCTTTCAAGTTGATCCAGCTGGCCACTGGCTTAATGACTTCCAAGCTGAGTGCTCAGAGACCTCAGAGAGGCGATTGTTTGCCAACCCGAGGCAAAGAAGTTCAACTTTTTGTCCAAGTCCAAGGCCCGCAACCAAATTCGGACAGCTGGCATGGCTGACCTGGCCACCGACCTGGCCACCTGGCCATCACATGGCCACCTGCCAGGTATGCCTCGATCTTTGCGCAGCGCCTGGAGGCTGGTCGCAGGTGGCGCAGCGGAACATGCCCGTTGGGCGCTCGTGATGGATTGTGTTTGCGCGATTTGTGCGCATCGGAGTCAGGTCGGGTCGAAGATCATCGCCATTGACCTGGCCGGCTCAGCTTGACTTCAAGATAGCTAGTGCTTGTGGTGGGCTTACCAGGCGCCCATCAAGCCTCTCCCTGGCGTGACGTGCATACAGTCTGACATCACCACGGAGAAGCGCGGGGCCTGTGGTTTTGACTCATTTGGACTCATTTAGAATTTTGACCATTTCGGCCGTTTCGGCCTGGGGCGCTGGGGCTGGTGCAGGTGCCGGCAGCTCGTGAGAAAAGAGCTGCAGGGTTCCATGGCAGATGTCGTGCTGCACGACGGGGCCCCGAATGTGGGCTTTGGGCCCAGACTCGAAGACTTGGATGGCCAAGCCATTCCTTCCACGCAGCTTGTCAGGCACAGCTTGGGCGAAAGATGCCTATGACCAAGCAGAGCTTTGCACTCGGACGGAGAAGCGACGGGATAAGTTCAGGTTGCAAAAGACACCCTGCGCCCCTCTTTCGTTGTGTAAGCCTGTCCCTTAATAACTCTTAACTTGCATTGCAGGCGCGGAAAACTGCAAGCCGATACTGTGGGGAAAAGGGCAAAACTCGTAGAAGCCATGAAGACATCAGGTCCAAGCTGTTGCTCAAGCGATACGAACCCAGCCAGTTGCCCTGGAGCTGCCAAAATGTACTTTATGGGCTGCACTTGCACTGAACAGTTACTGTTAAAAAAATCGAGCTGGAGCTGACAAGGCGCACATCGCATACTACACTTGTACTGAACAGTTGCGACTTTCGATCTAGGGCTGCTGGAAAAAGCGACACTAACCGATACCAGTGTCTAAGCTTACAAGGGTTGCCCACATTGTTGACGCAGCGGAGTGCATAGTATGAATGGCGCTGTTCACGTGCCTCTTTGCGAGGCTCACCCTGCATTCGCTGCGCCTGGCTTGCTGCTGCCTCAGCCAACTCGGCATCTCGCAACCCACGCCTTCATGGGCTTCATGGGCTTCATGGATTTCATGGATTTCATGGATTTCATGGGTTTCATGGGTTTGATGGCCTTGGGATCTTAGGCGACTTCTTGCGGGTGGGAGGCGTTTTCGTGACCAAGGCTCCGCTCCCAACACCCTCTTGAGCTGACCACCAACGCCGTGCCAGGTGTTCCGATCCAAGGATTACAACTCTTTGCTTTGGGTCTTCAACCAGCTTTTCAACAAGGCATCGCATCGCATCGCATCGCATCGCCCGGTGCATTTGTCGAATTTAACCTCTTTCGGGCATCACAGGTGGATGCCACCAAGCCCACAGCCTCCCGAAACGTCTCTGCAGAGATCTTCGTGATGTGCATAGGTGAGATGATGAATCAGATAATGTGAGATATATTGAGTCATTGAGACGTTTACGCGAGATGGACTTAGACATATTTAGGCTGAGTCATTGAGTCTGTGAGGTCTGAAGCAGAGCAGAAGCAAAATCGACTCAAAGTTCTTTGACCCCAAGCCTGGCTCTAGGGTCCTGCAATGAACTCTTGGTTGACCCCAACTTTGTGGCTGAGGTGGGTTTTCATGGAAACCGTTGAAGAGCCCCAGGATGAAGGTTGGACAGCATTTGAACTGGCCTGTTCCGATCCGAGAATGCGCAGGCAAGAAGCCCGGCGCATCTCTAACAGAGTACTTCAAGAAGATGAAGAAGCCTTGGCCTTGCAATCTGATGGCTGACGATTTCTGACGCATGTACTAACTACCATGTGCCAAAGGAAGCACAGAGATGGGTACGAGGAGGACCGCCCTCACCTGCGTGCAATGTTCTTTCTCTTCACTTGACAGTGGCAGGGTGACGACATGCGCATCATTCCTGCCCAAGACTTCATCGCCTCAGACAAGCCGGCCCGGCACCCCAGCTCCCAAGAGCGCAGGCAGTCCAAGAACAGGGAACACTTGAGTGAAGAGAGAGGTGACCATGTCAGCGAACACGCGAGCGCATGCCAGGCAGAGATCCTGATTAAAGCCCACAAGCTGAATCTGGAGGTCACCCCGAAGGGGCCAAAATATCTATGCAAAAATCTATGGATTTATGCATGGATTCCTTCATATTCCTTCCTCCCTTCCTTCCTTAGCCCGGAGGCCCCAGGATGCGAGCCTTTGGCCCGGAACCCGTGGCATCCTCAAGAACTCGTTGGCCTAAGGGATCCTAAGGGCCTGGACGGCCTAAACGTAGCTCAGGTTGACACGGGACGTCGTGGATCTGTGCCAGGATCTGAAGGCCGGACGCATTCGGACGCATTGGCCAAAGCGACGTCCGTCCGGTTCCGTCCGGTTCGCAGGTGCTTGGCAAGGCAGACCTGTCGCAGCTCTTAAAGTGGAGGATGAAGATTCTCCGAGAGCGGACGCCCCAGTTGGGAAGGCGCTTGAGATTTTGGTGGATGCGCGGTGTAGGCAACAGAAGAATCAGCGGGAGGCAGAGAAGAAGGCGAAAGAGGATCCCACCACCTTGGCAGTCCTCTCAGCCTTTCGGACTGGGTCGGGCTTTGGAACGTAAAGTCAATTTGATCAGGTTGTGTGATGCGAGTCGCCTGTGCTGAAGGCAGTTCGTGCGAAAGCAAAGCTGCAGGCGGCAAAGGCTGGACTCTTTGCTGAGCTTCGCTGGTCTTGGGCATGTAATTAGGCAGCTGCCAAGAAGGCGGTGGATCGTGAAACCCTGAGAACTGTGATGCTTGCGTGCCCGCAGACTGGCTGACTAACTGACCGGCTCTGAGGCGGTTTGGCTCCAGACCTGGACAGTGCCATTGCGCAGTTCTTGGACGGGGCTGAGTTGACCGAAGGTCCAGAAGGTGCGCGGTCGGGGAGCAGATCAGCCGAGCTTGGGTTGTTGCAAAGGTGTGTAAAGGTGGCCAGAAGCAAAAGCGACAAATGCGACCCCCAAGTAGGACGAGGGATGGAAGTGACTCTGGGGATCGGACAGCCTTGAGGGCAACAGAAGGGGTTGCAGCGAATTAAATATGGGCCCGGCCATGTTGCAAATTGAACTGAGAGGTGCTGCCAGCGCATCTGAGGATGAGGCAGAGTTGCAAGTGTGGCAGACTGGGACCGAAGCTGACATGTTGGAAGCGATCGATGCACATGGACATTGCCATGATGGCCATGTTTGCCTCGAATGGCAGGCAGCAGATGACCGATTGGAGCAGGACTTTCTCTTTAGAGGTCTCAAGACGTCTCACGTCTCAAGACGTCTCAAGACGTCTCATATCGGTGGTAGGATCTGAAGCAACAAATCGACAAGCGAAGGAAAGAAGATCGCGGCGGCCCAAGCCCACGGAGCCGCCCAAATGAATCAAAACCCGGGTCGAAGGCCAAGGGGCAGTCGCCGGAAATAGTTGCGGCCGCCTTTCCAATTCTTTACATTCTGGAATCACCATTTTTGTACCAGGTTTTGATTTTGACTCAAGTGTGGCTGGACATGGCGTACAGGGAAAGAGGCAAAGAGAATGATGGACCGTCAGAGGAAACAGGCGTGGCGTGGGGGTGAGAATTGTGAGGCAGCAGGTGAGCACGGTTTCCATGCATTTCCTTGGCAAAAATTGAGGAGTGGCGAAAGAAAATGAGCTTGGTCACCGGACGGGGAGGAGCAGTGCACTGAGTATGCATATTTGCCTGGATTTGCCTGGAGTCAATACGACTTGCCTTGTGACCATTGAAGCCCTCGGTGCCTTGAAGCGTCATCGCCTTCTAACTACTTTTCTCCCGCGTGGGTGGTGTAGAGCTTGCCACAAAGGCAACGGGCGAGCAGCCCGAGCTTTTCCGCGTTACGGACAAGAGTGTCAAGGCTGTCGGATACAGTTTTGTGCTTGCATGCGCTTCGACTCGACAGGCTCTGGAAGATGACTCGGCCATTCCCAACGAGTGCCTCAGCGAGGAGGCGTGTGATGCGTGTCGCTTGATACGCTTGATACCCGAGAGCCCGGAGAGCCCGGAGAGCCCGAGCCAGTGAGGAGCCAGACACGGAAGCAGAGAAGGAGATGGAAAGGGCCAGGTTTGAGGCTTCCGACTCGGACGACGACCAGTGGCCGCCCAAAGCGATGAGAGTCATGTTAGTTTGTTAGTCATGTTGGAAAGTAACTGGAAGTGACTAGTTCCCTTTTCAGAATGCTCCTTCATGTCCTGAGGATGGACCGACTAGCACGCATGGAGGTGGACCTGGCGGTCTGCCCAGTCTGACAGTCGCTTTCTTCGCACTTTCTGGACTTTCCGGACTTTCCGCATTCGCGTGCCTGCGTGCCCGCGTGCATGTCCCTCTGTCTCTCTGTCTCTTTGTCTCTTGAGTTGAGGCCTTGGACTACGAGATGCGCAAAGCCCACCTGCTGCACAAGCCTGGCCCTGAGACCTGAGACGGATGGCACATGGCACTCGCGAACAATGGCGTCCTTTCGAGACGGAGAGATGTGCGGAGACTCAGTGGCAGAGATTTGAGGAAGAGGAACGTCGTTCAGCGCACAGAGAAGGCGAAGAAGGAGACTCGCCGCCAGCGGGTTGTCCAGGCCATTGTCCCTGCAAGCAGAGCTGAGAATCGGATTCATCGGGATTCCCTGGGATGTAGAATAGGATCTATTCGTTCCTTTGGCCAGTCCTGGGCTGCGGAGCTGACGGACTTCAGCGAGCGCCAGCAGAGCGAAGCCAAGGCCCTGCAGGAGCGTCGGAGCGTCCCGGCTGTTTTCGAGTTGGTTCCTTTAAGATTTGGTTTCTATGACAAAGTAAGGAGAAGAAATGGAGAGGGAGAGAGACAGAGAACAAGATGAGGACCTTGGCGAAGACGCTCTTGAAGACGAGGACGCCTGCTCGCTCGTCCAGCATGAGACATCTTGCGTTTCATACGCTGAGCTTGGCACAAATGGCACTCAGTCGGAAGGAAGATGACAGCGACGATGATCTCAAGGCAGGATCTGATTTGGGTTGTGCTTGAAATTAATTATTGCAGCTTTGCACTGACCTGCGAGGCCTTGCGCAAGTTCCAGGTGCGTCTGGGAGTACGTATCCGAGTTGGTCACAGACAGAGTCACAGAGCCACAGGATATGATGCAAGAAGCGGAGGATGCAGAGGATGGAGAGGGCGGTGACCGCGCCCTTGGCATTGGCCGTTTGAGACGAGACTTACCGAGACACGCCGCATGGGGCCGTGACCAGGTATCGACGGTGCCGCACTTGAAGCTCTGGCAGATGGCCTCGCACCAAGCGTGAACCGCACAAGATGCGTGAATGGAGACAGAAATTGAGTCATAAAGAGCACATGACATGGGCGCACAGAAGCAAGCCACCAATTCCGTCAATCAATTGCATGTTGGCTTCTACACACGGCTTTCCGAACATGGGCTCGAACCATCCCTCTTTGACGACTGACAGAATGCTTCCAGGCTTTGTGTGTCCACGTGCAAATGCAGCAGGCACTTTGCCTTGGTGAACAAATGAAGCAAAAATTGCACCATCAAAGACCCCAAACAGTCAAGGGGAGACAGAGCGCCGACCTTGACCAGCCTTGCCGCACATATGAAGAGAGACCCTTCCAACCCATCTCGTCACAGATCAGCAAGCGCGCAAGGAAACAAGTGGGGAGACAAATGGAAACCAGTGGGGGGACAAAGAGCTGACCGAGCCAGACCATCTCGTACAGTGGGGAGACGATGGAAAAACAAGTGATGAGACAAAGAGCGAGCCGAGCCAGATCATCTCACGACAGCGTCCAGCCCTGCAAGCGCGCGAGGAAACAACAAATGGAAGCAAGCGGGGAGACAAAGAGTTGACTGAGCCAGACCATCTTGAATCTTGTGACAGCATCCAAGCGAGGGCGTGAGGAAACAAGTGTGGAGACAAATGGAAGCAAGTGGGGAGACGAGCTGACCGAGCCAGACCATCTCGCAACAGCAAGCCGCCCAGCAACCGCGGAGTGCGCGGAGCGCACGGGCGCGCGTGGAGCGCGCGGGAATCGGATCGCGCGCGTAGGGAAGGGGAATCGGATCGCGTGTGCGAGAGTGTGCGAGAGCCGGAGTGCACGGAGTGCACGGAGCGCGCAGGATAGCGAGAGGCGCGCGGGAAGGAGAAGCGGGGGGGGGGGGGAGACAAAGAGCCGAGCAAGCCAGACTCTTCCGTGACAGCATCCGGTGAGGAAACAAGTGGCCCCTTTGTCTCCCTTGTCTCCCCTCCATGTGTGCTCCAGGCCAGGTTCTAGGCTGGGTTTGCCTGGACGGGTGGCTGCCCTTGTCTCTGTGCTTCAGGCTGAAATTGCGTGGATGTGTTCCTGCTGCCTTGTCTCCCCTTGTCTCAACTCGGAAGACAAAGAGCTGACTGAGCAGACCATCTCGTGACAGCATTCAGACCAGCAGTGACTGAGCGAGACCTTTTTGTGACGGCAAGAAACAAGCAAGGAGGGGAGACAAAGAGCTGACCGAACCAGACCATCGTGTGACAGTCCACCAACCCAGACAAGTGGGGAGACAAATGGAAACAAGTGGGGAGACAGAGCTGACCGAGCCAGAACCTCTCGTGAGGCAACACAGAGCGCGTTCCGCAAGGGAATCAAGGGGAGGGAGCGTGCGGAGCGTTCCAGCGGGGCAGGACTGGGGAAAGAGCGATCCAGCCAGAGTAGCAAGAGAGCGAAAGGGGGAGGAGGGTGTGGAGGTGCGGGGAGTGCGCGGAAGGGAGAAGGGGGCGGAGACAAAGAGCCAAGCGAGCCAAACCCGTCCAGGCGAACCCAGCTTGGAGCGCGTAGCAAAACGCGCAAAGGCAAAGGGAGACAAGGCGGCTGCATCCAGGGGAACAACAAGCGAACCCAGCTGGACACAAATATGAAGAGAGACAAGGCCAGCGACCCGTCCAGGCGAACCCGTCTACTCTTAAAAGAATCAAGAGCCCCTACAGTAACTGTTTGGGGAACAAACTATAACAAAGCTCCAATTCACTTGACTGGCTTGCGAACTGTTTCTGGCATGACCCAGCTGGAGCAACCGTCTAGACTGTATTGCGAAGCCAGACTGTTTGGAGTAAAGTTTCGCGTGCTTTGACATATTCAGTACTGACAGCGCTGACAATCTGTGCGGAAAAAACATTGCGTTGATAATACTTTGAAGCTGACATTCTTTGCTTTGCCAATTTTCGTTGGTGGGCGTTTTTCAAACTAAAGCAAGCGCTGGCTTGCTGGAGGCCCCGAAGAGGAAGGTGAGGACGAGGATGGAGGTTGCCTGGCTAAAGCACGAGAAGGCAAGTTGTGCATGAAACCCAGATGGTTTGACTCCTTTGAGTCTCAGGGTGAGGTTTTTGCCACGGTTCTCTGTGATGGAAAGCCTGTCAGGCAAAGGCAAGGCCATTGCGGACGCTGAGGCTGAGAACGAGGCGCTTTCAGAAGCCACGTGGCCAGTGAACTTTTGGCCCGTGAGGAAGAAGCTGAGACGCCGAAGCTGCAGCTGGCTGACCGGTCGGAGACTGCGCTGGCACCGCCCTCTGGACCCAGAACTCAGCTCCTTTTGTTTTTGATTTGATATGTGGGGTTAGTTGGTAGTTGGCTGGTTGGTTGGCGGCATCCCCGGCATCACCCGCCTCACTTGAACTGCCTATTGGCTCTGGTTCGGTGGCGGTTGGGAGTTGATCGGGATTGGTTGGCTTCGTGCCCGCCTCGGCCAGTATTCCCTCAGTTGGCTTTGACATCATTTCTGTGTTTTGGTTTGGCTTGAAGTGTTGTGTTGTTTCGAGTGAGTCGGCGCCAAAATGCGTGAGCTGGTTTTGAACAAACATGGTGGGTGCATGTTCGCGTGTCGCACATGGCCTCAAGGGCTAGAACGAGAGCCGCAGTCTGAGAGCTGGGCTGGGGCTGGAGGGAAGATCGGTGAGCCGCGGCCAAGAGCTGGGCCTTTGAAGAGGCCAGGCGCAGGCCAGTGGGCCGAGCCATGGATGGCCTGGGTGAGAAGACGCTTGTTTTGCAGAAAATTTTGCCCGAGGCCACGGCCGGCCCCAGTGGCTGCTGGGCTTGATGGCTGCTGGGCTTGGTGGCTTGAGCACATCCCGATGGTCTCAAAAGGACGTCCGCTTAAGAGGGGGAGGCAGCTGGAGCATGGGTTTGGGCTGCGTGAAATGGGTCGCGGGGAAGAGGGAGGGACGGCGAATCCCTGTTCGCCTGACCCTGAGCAACTCGCCAGCTGCCACTGAATCAGAGCTATGCGAAAAACAGTGCTAGGACAAAGCCAGCCCTACGCAAAGAAATATCACCTTTCACTGTGGCCCAGGTGCCTCACACAGAGGAGGAGCTGCGCGGGGAGCAGAGGGCCAGCAGATGGTTCAGCTGTCGCCTTGGAGCGCGCGTTCCAACGTTGAAGCCGGAGGCATCGGAAACAGAGGCCAAGGCACAGACCTTCCCGAGGTCAAGGCATCTTTGCCGGCCTCAAAGGCGTGAGCGTGGCGTGGAGCATTCTCTTGGGGGCTCGCTTGCCTTGAGGCAAGCGGAGTCTTGAAGACTCGGACTCCGCCGGGTGCTCAGGCTGATTTGCTCGAACACGTCCTGAGTGCTCGTTCCCTTGTTTTTTTGACACGGTGCAAAGGATCAGGAGGGCGAGGACGGGCACGAGAATACGTGAATACGTTGAGAATGCCGCACAGCTCGCAGATGCACGAACTCACCGACGCGCAGCTTCCCAAGCTGCCGCTCACGGACAAGGCTTTTGGATGAATCAAGTCAAACTTTGCCGATTTCTTGACCCAGGCAAAGCGGAAAATCGAAAGGCGGAAGAATACGGAAAGGCTCGAGAAGCCGCTCGGCTCATCCTTGACCCAGAGCCTTTGGCTTTTGCTCCGATTCCTGCAAGGCTTGGCATCAAACCCAAGAAGAAGGAGGAGGAGGAGGCGAGCTACTGCCCACTTTGTGCCTTGGCTACAATATAAGCTGCACGCGTTGCTCGCCAGGAGAAGGGCGGCCTCGAGGCAAGCCTGGAATTTGGAATATTGGGAGAATTGCATTCACTTTGTCCGTCCAGGTTGCACCGCTGGAGCCTCCAAAGCCGTGCGGGGCTTGGAGTCGCTTCCGCTGGGACGCATCGCGCCTCTCGCGTCCGAGGCTCGTGCCATCTCAGCCATCGGATCCGCGGGAGCTGGCCCAAAGCCCAGGGAAGCCAACAGGAAAGCCGACAAAGCCGACAGGAAAGCCAACAAGCCCGGCGCCTCGTGAGGCTGAAACCTTGGCCATCGGATCTTTGCTCGTCGAATCCAAGAAGTCCAGGACGCTCTTTGAAATCCTCCTTGGGCATTTCACAGCGGCCAGGATGGACCTCTTGGATGCGGGGTACAACAGCCTGGATCTTTGGGAAGAGTGTCCGGAACGGGAATGAACAAGTCGGTCTGGGATTCTGCCACCGAGGGTACACCTTCGATCCGAACCCAGCATTGCCAGTCTGGTTCCTTGATGATGAGGACAAGTATAACAAGCAGCAGACCAAGGTTTATGCAGCTGTCGCAGTTTATGCCCCAAAGCTCAGGCCCGAGATTCCCATCAGCAAGGAGCAGTTCAACCAGTCAGGACCCGAGCATGAAATTACAGCCTTTTCGACACGGGTTGTGAGCTGCAGACGTTTCCCCCATAGTTTGCCAAGGTTCCGCCAGCGGCTTGCGGAGATTAACAGACGGTTGCTGCCTCATTCAGATGGCTCGTGGCTACGCCTGCCATATGTTGGCATATCTTGGCAAATCTTGACATGTTTGCTCTTGGAAAGGCCAATTAGGAAGGTTGCGGAGGCGGGGACGCCAAGTCGGACAGCGCCGCGTCAAGTCTTGACGCACTGGTCGCAGGCCAGGGCTCGCAAGAAGAAACGCATGGCCAAGAAGCTGGAGAAGCCCTTCGCTTGATCCAAGCACAAGGCGGATTGGCTGATTTGCTGATTTCCTGTGCAGGTTGCGCTCCACCGCCATGACTCGAGCTTAGATATGTCGGAGCCCAATGTCAATTCCTCTCTTGCCCTTCTCGCAGGGCCCTCGCAGAGACGTCAGACATGAGCGAGCATGCAAAGGCCAGCCTTACTCTTTTCTATCACACAATGCTGGCACAATGCAGCCAGCAGGCGCGGCAGATGCGCAAGGCCGTGAACAAGCTGGCGCAGACCCCAATGGAATACGTGACGCGTCGTGTCGTTTTTTTGCGCATGCGAAATGCGGGCGATTTGGGCAAGGCCAAGCAAGACCAGCGCCCGGTGACAAGTGTTGCCATCAAGAAGGGCGGCGGAGGGCACAAACTGGACAAGAAGAAGGCGCCGGCACCGCGCTGCCGCGCCGCCGCTTGTGCTTCGGCTGGGAGCTTCAGGTGCCCAAAGGAGCGAAGGTGAAGACTGTTGACAGAAGGCCACTTTTCCCGCGTATCTGCACTGCATCGCACGCATGAGAGGATGAAAGCTGATCTGCGTGGAGAGAAGAAGGCTTTGCCGAATTGCATTGAACCTCACGTTGATCAATTTGAAGAATTTGAAGATGCTGGTAATTTGTGTAAATTTGCGCGGGGGTGCTTGCTCAATGACAGGCGCGGAAGCGGAACCCCGGCAGATTCAAGGCGGGTCCATTGCCCACGACACAAGAAGGTTTTGCCGGATTGCAGGTGCAGCAGCGAAAAGTGCAGCAAAAGATCAACAAGGGAAAGAGGTGGCAGAGTGACGCGCAAGAGAGATGTGACATTCACGTGCCTACTTAGTCTACTTTGTCTACTTGCCTACATGGCCAGGAGAGGCATGGGCGACAAAGGTACCAAGACAGGAGCTCGCATGGAAACCAGGTGAATGCAGCGCTCATGTCCACTTACTTTTCAGTCTCGTATCTATGTGCGAACGACTGCTTGTGCAGGAGGGAAGAAGCGGAAAGCTCCAGCATGAGGGCGGAGATTTGCGCCCTGTTAATGCACCAGCGCCGGAGAAACTCAGGACAAGATTGGTTGTATGACAAGCTGCACCAGCCACACCAGCCACCAGCCGAATAATTCCCCGAGTTGCACTGATATTCGGTGACTTCAGCGACCTCGGAGACTTTCTTAGTGTGTTTGGCGCAGTCTCAGAGTCTCACCCAGAAAAAGGAGCCCAGGAGCCCCAGACACCCAGTGCTTTCACCATGGATTCATAGGCCATGCACTTTGGATGTTGAAGCTTTGTTTCAGTTTGACAAGGTCGGCAACATGGTTAAGTAGTGCCCCATCGTATCACATGGAACTCGCTTGAAGAGCCAACGTGCTAAAGGGACCGACACTATGCACTTCACCCAAATTGCGCAGCAAATCATTCGAGATGTTCTGCCCAGAAAGCTGCCGGCGTGGCTCTACAGGATCCAACCACTTGCCAAGCCCAAGCCGTTCTAGCGCAATTCCTCGCTGCAACGATCACACCTTTGAGCCAGGATAGTCGAGCCGGCTCGCACAAGCAGAGCGAGTCCAAACACGCGTGCGGCGAGAACGAGCGTGAAGTGCGCTGGCAGGGATTCAGAGAACTTGGGTACTAAAGCTCGGAGCGCTTTCACAACTGTGCAGCACGCTCGCGACAGCCAAGTTGTTGGACTAGCCCGCACTGGCATACGGAATGTTTGTTTTTGTTGGTACCAGCAACATCGGATCCGGCACATGCACCCGGTGACGGATTCAACATTGGCACCTTCTTTGCGTTCAGGTGCCCAAAGCACGCCTTTTTGGATACATGACACAGGAACACGGTAAGCGAGTTTTGATCCCTTAGGGATGCTCGAGTTAGGGAGCAGCTTGCGCATGGATGCCTTTAGCCTGATCTATGATGCCCAAGCGTGCGCACCGCGTGGATCGCGCACACTAGGCAGAAATTGACAGCAGGAAGGAATCTCAGGTGTGTCACTTGATTGTTGCAGAAGGAAGTGTGTGCAAGCCTCATTGCCACTGGCAGCTCGGTTGGCTCAGGGATTGCCTCTGACGCTCAGGATGATTGAGTACAGCCATGGCAGATGGGGCATGCAGGTCTTACTCAAATGCCGTGGGTCTGTGATACCCAAGGCTTTGGTATGGTCTGTCCCGTGTGCCTTGCTGACGGTCTTGTTGCACATTTATTGGGGCGACGTGAAGGGTGATGCCAACACAGAACTGGAAGGCATTGGAACCATTTGGTCCGGGTATACGTTTGTCCTGGGCTTTCTGATCGTCTTCCGCAGCAACCAGGCCTACTCGCGCTTTTGGGAGAGTGCTGCTTCACTGACTATTAGTATGGCGGTTTGGTTTCATCAGCGCAACATGAGCAGCTCTCCCAATCTGTTCCGGTTTTCTTTTTTTTTTTTTGAGGTTACGCTTTTCCACCAGACCAGCGGCGAGTGGATGAGTGCCTTCAGCAATCTTCTGGCTTTCTGCACTGAAGAGGAGGAAAAGCAGGCCCTTGCACATTTGATGCATACAACACATTCGGGGTTTCGCAGCTTGCCCAGGGAGAAGTGGCGGACTTCCGGAATCTTCTCATGAGGCTGATGAGCCTTCTGCATTGCACGGCCCTTCAGACCATGTGTGAGCTCAAGGATGACAGCTTGGAGGTCTTGGATGTGGGAGGGCTCAGCAAGAAGAGCATGCTCCATCTCAAGACAAGCCCCGACAGGCCATGTGGGGTGTGCGGTTCGTGGCAGAACTACCATGCCACAGACGTGTCAATAGGAATTAAAGCATATTTACACGCTGGGCACCCTGCCCTTCCCCAGCATGCATAGCATCATTCGCATCATCCGGGATGATGCTGGCAAGGCTGGGGTGCTGTCCAGTACCGCCCCCCAAAAACCACTCTTTTTGGGACATGCGGGGAGATGCCTCGAAACTCGCCGCAACAAATTCGCAAATCCTTCACCCCTTACTAGGGCGGGCGCAGCCTTCGTTTCCCTTCAGTTTCTCTTGGTTTCCCAGAATTTCCAACAATTTCTTCTTGTTTCCGTCAGTTCCCTTCATGTTGTTCCATGTCCCTGCATTTCCCTTCATTTTTGTTTCCTCCCAGCGCCCTCTTCATTTCCTTGCACTTTCTTCCCTTTCCATACGTTCACTTCCGTTCACTCCTGTTAGTTAGACCAGACCTTGCCCATCTTTTTCCTATGAAAAAGGACCCCCCCCTACACTTTTAGCAACATTTCAAAACAGCACCTCAAACAGCACATTTTCAGAAATAGATATTAAAAAAATATAAATTTTCAAAATTTTCAAATATATTTTAAAAATAAATTTTCAATTAAATCTTATAAATAAATTTTCAACAATTAATTTTCAAAAAAAAGGCAAAAATAAAATTTCAAAATTTTCAAATATTACATTTAAAAAATATTATTCCAAAACTTATGATAAATTATTTTACAATATTTTTATCATAAAATTTGTAGAAATATTATGGGCAAGGTTGTTTTTCAAACAAGGTTCGTTATTCTAACCCACGTTATGTATATTCATTTTTATTTAATTTGCAGGATAATAGTTCAATTTTACATTTTCATATTTATTGTAATTATTTGCATACATATGTTTCATAATTTCGTTTAATTCCTGTATTACCTAATTTTCTTTGTAATTACTTGAAAAAACATAGTTCTCACGGTTCATATGTTCACTAGTATAATGAACTACGTTGGCATTAGAAAGCACACATTTATTAAAGAGACTATCTAATATCTTATATTTCTTTTTACTAATGTTACACTGTTCCTTCAAGGTTTTTTGGTCAGGAGTAATTCATAACATACAGCAAAATACCAGTGTAATTTATTTTTATAGAGGGTTGTTGTTTCCATTCTTTTTATTTCTAAATAATGGTATAACTGATTACAAACATTACATTTGCATTTTTGCCTTGGATTTTTTTTTTTAAACTTTCACTTGGTAATTTTAAATGGAATAGTTCAACTGGATTAAAATTATGTTTTCCTAATTCCTTTTTAATTATTTTTTCTGTTTCATCAATATTAACATCATCAAGAAATTTATTGATTATTTCTTCCTGCTCAATCTCACTGAACATTTCCACCATATAATAGTATTATACAATATGTCTTTAAATCTTTTTACAAGAGCTATTTTTATAATAACATTTCTAAATTTGGTTTAGCTTTTTACAGTAAACTATCTATATATTTTTAAAATATATTGTTTTTTTAACAAAAATAAATTAAACTCATTTTTAAATTCATTATTTCATTTACAACTACAATTACAAAACTTACAAAATGGAATGATGTTATCTAATGTATGCGTGTATTCATTATTTTCCGTTGTGCTGTTAGATTTGTTATGATATTGCCATGTTTCATATCAATAGTAAAACCGCAACCGCAGTAATTACATTGATTATGTATATTATCTAAAAACAACTGAGCATCTACATAACCTTCTCTAGGTGTGCTTCTTTTTGCTTTCCTGTCTTGTTCCTTGTAATTCAAAATTTTCCTTTCAACATAACTCAGAATACATTTTCGATTAATTAATTACATGATCAACATCTTTCGTATATTTATAAAATTTGACTTTGTCTAAATCACGAGCACGTGTTACCGCTGTGAAAATCCATTCTGGATAGTTCTTTACCAAAAAATGATTATAACCAAAAAAAAATATGGTGTCATCAATGCTACTACCTTGGGCAGAATGATTTCGGTTTTGACCTTTTTTAATGTAAATATTCCATTGCTGCCAATATGAATTATTTGATATTTGAATTTACATTATTATTTTTTATTTTTAGTATTTTCCCTACATATTAAAAGTTCTCCTACTTCATATTCATCCTTCCTGTTTTCCAGTTTCCTAGTTTCATTGGATACAGTGTTACAAGTTGTATTCAAAAATGCTATGTTGTTTTTGGAACTACTTATGTCTGTGGTGTGTTCAAAATATTTTCTATAATATGTTTAATTTGTAATTTATTAACAAAATATCAGATTTCATATTCCTGAGTTTATCCTTATCTTCCTGTGTGTTAAGTCTCTTACATTCTTTCAATATTATATTAATTATCTATAATATTGTCAGTGTATAATTCATAGTCTTGAGTATTTGTTATTTCTTGCACTGGTTTTAACTGCTTGGTGTCTCCTGTTGCTATTATAATTTTGTACTCTCCAATATATATTTATGAAATAAGTTTCACTGTGCCGGGTAGTTGTCCTTTAATCATAATAGGGTTGTTCTGTTTAACAATCTCTATAATGTTATCAGTGTCATATTCATCTACAATATCAATAGTTTTACTTTCATAAACTGGTATGTTTATTAGTTCATTCTTCTCAACGTTATATTTTACTGTGGGTAAATTAGTTTCTTCTCTCTGCTTTGAAGCTTTCCAACCTCCTATATCATTATGAAATTCTAATCATTGCTTTGCTCTTTCTACATTGCATGTATCAATTACGAAAGCATCTGTTTTTACACTATATACATTAATATTATTAGTTATTAGTGTCTTAAAGTCTTGGTTCATTTTAAAATTGTGATGTTGCAAAAGTAGTTCTTTATATATTTATAGCCGTTTCTTAATACTGCCTTATCCTTCAAATTTAACATAAAATATGATGCCTTTACATCCCATTCATCCTCATCAAATCCACAATATGTTGTAGTTGCACCTCCTTCGTCGTCATATTCGGTTACCGTTTCGGGATATTCGCTTACAATATGCGATAACTTATTAATTTTACCTCCGTATTCTGTTTGATAATGTACTGCTTCATCAATACTTTTAAATAAAATGCTTTGATGAACCGTAGCACCTCCTGTTTTTTTAATAATCCAAAATTTACATTTGCTATTAAGTTTTTAATTGAGTTGCATCAATTTTTCCAATGGTCAAACTGGTTGAATAGTTGTATTTCGCTAATATTTAAAAAACCTTCAGTAAGTGCTTTTTTTCATCAACTTCCGTTTTGTTAACTAAACTAATATTACTCAATAATAACCATGACGGCGCTATAGTTCTCGTTTCATTTAATATTTTAATATCAATGTCAATATGAAAGGATTTATGTGATGACATGAATAAGGATTTATTGAAATTAAACATTGCTTTGTTCATAATGATGTGTATAAGTATAAAGACCCAATACGCTACTTGTATTTGGCTCAAGGAAAAGGTGCGCTCCGCAGTGCACCCGAGCCTAAGTAATCGAGTTTTCATGGTAGCGGTCCATCTGGACCGGAAAGATACAAGGGCACGGGCAAGTACAAGGAAGAAGGGCAAGGACAGGGGCAATAAGGGCAGGAAAGATCCACCGGAGCCTCCGTGAGGAGGTCCAAGAGCGGCAAAGGAAAAGCCGCTGGAGCGGGCGCTGAGCCCGCGGCCCCTGAGCCAGAGGAGCCAGAGGAGCCAGAGGAGCCAGAAGAACCGGAAGAACCAGAACCTGCCTTGCCGGAGGAGGAGCCCGAGATCCGAGCTCCTTCGCCAGCCGCTGCGGTCTCGGGGATTGGAGCCCAGAAGAGGAGGCTCGACCGGCAAGTAGCCGGGGGCCGGACGTAAGTCCGGAAAGGGAGCTTGTGTACACTGCTGAGGACAAGAAGCAGGATCTCCCGATTGAGTCGCAGGCTGAGGAGACCGACTGAAGGCCCTGGCAATCGGCGCGAAGGATCGAACCTTGGGAGCCAAGCTACTCACCAGGACCCAGAAAGGGTGGAAAGACACTCAGCGTTCGCAGGAAGCCCGCCATTATAGGATCCTCAAAGGCCTCATCAAGCTTGCGAATAAGAAAGTGGAAAAGGTGCCCAGAGAGGTTGAGATTGAGGTCGAGCAGCTCAATAAGAGGAGGCAAGATTAGATGTGCCAAAGACCCCACCGAAAGCCCCTATTACGCCACCTAAGGCTGCGGCGCCGAGTTCACCTAAGGATCTTGGACTCAGACGAAAGCCAGCGCCGGCTGGTCCAGCTAAGGTTGCCCTTGGACGAAAGATCGCGAGAATTGGCTGTGGGGTAGAGTGAAGGGTGGCGCGGAGACACCTGAGACTGCCCTCGCGAGCAACTATCGACTGCGGAGGGCGGCCGTCTCGGAGACCCTTTTCTTGACAAAGGCGAAGGGGTCGGTTGAAGTACCGATCGCCAAAGCGGTGCTGGGTCTCGACGGCTTGAGTGTGCCGTGCGACGAGCGGAACACCTCGGCGCGGCCAGCTATCCTGGCTCGGGCGGCTGCTCGGTTTGCGGGAGTAGGGGGCTCGGTGTTGGGACCCTCGCCAAAGCTCCCGGAGATTTGGAAGAGCCCGCCGCCGAAGGCCAAAGCGCCGGCGGTACAGCCGGAGAAGGAGGAGCCGCAAAAGAAGGAGAAGGAGGAGCCGCAAAAGAAGGAGAAGGAGGAGCCGCAAAAGAAGGAGAAGGAGGAGCCGCAAAAGAAGGAGAAGGAAGAGCCGCAGAAGAAGAAGAAGGTGAAGAACGAGCCCAAGGAGGAGACCCGAGTAATCTTGAAGGAGGCCCCGGCGGTGCCAAAGGTGGTGTTGGTCCCGAAGCCAAAGCATCCACAGAAGAAGCCACCACCACCACCGCCATCTCCAACTCTGAGTGCGTGCATTTTCACGATCGGGCTGAGCCTGAGTCGGGATCCTACACGTACTATTCATACGAAGAGGGGTCCGAGTCGGACTAACCTCCCG